TGCTGTCCCTGACCTGGTGCCCCTGTGTGTTGCCGTTGATGCCAACCGACCTCCTTTGGCTGAGCTGGCACAGAGGCCTCACTGCAGCCCCTGCTCCAGTGAGCACTGACACCAGAGTGAGGATGCTGCAAATGGTGTTTATTGCTTCACTGACACCTTCTTATATCCAATCCCTCCTTCGTTAGTGCCCTCATGTCTGCGTAGGCAATCCACATCATTTCCCTTAGCGTAACCTAAACATCCATAGGAAGGGGTTCCCTCTCCTAACCTTTCCGTACGTCGCCAGATCTTCCGACCGCCATTCCCTGCACCTGTGCAGGGTGACACAGAGCTGTCCTTGACCTGCTGCCCCTATGCAGGTTTGCATGAAGCTGCCATGGGGACCACTGTGTCCCCTATGCCCATGGGTGCTGCGGGTTGGGTGGTAGGACTGATCCCACTCTGATTCTCTGCTGGGGAGTGGGATCACGGGGAAAACCCAACTAGAAAGGGACATGGACACACAGCCACAGGGGTGTATGTGCTCAGGGGCTTTGGGGCCACCACTGCTCCTCACTCCCTTCCCTTGGCTGCTCAGTGATGCTCTGGGATGAGGTGATGCCCAGGACCTCCCTAATTATTCCCCTCTGTGCCCAGAGAGTCAGCCCACGACGTCGGATGAGACGGTGGTGGCTGGTGGCACAGTGGTGCTTAAGTGCCAAGTGGAGGACCCTGATGACTCCTCGCTGCAGTGGTCCAATCCTGCCCAGCAGACCCTCTACTTCGGGGAGAAACGAGGTACAAGCCTGGAACTGGGGGTGGGAGAGAGGCAGCTCCAAGCCTGGAGCCATGGGGAGGTAGATCAGAGGGTGACATTCCCTCCTACTCCAATCCCAGCAATGCCTCCAGGCAGAACACGAGCCAGTGGAGGGGGACAGTGGCACTGAGCCCACAGCTCACCCTGTGGTCCCTTTTCCCCATCCCAGCCCTGCGGGATAACAGGATCCAGCTGGAGAGATCCACTCCCAACGAGCTGACCATCAGCATCAGCGATGTGGTGCTATCGGACGAGGGGGAATACACCTGCTCCATCTTCACCATGCCCGTGAGGACAGCTAAGGCCCTGGTCACTGTGCTGGGTAGGACACCAGTGACATCGCTCCCTGCTCTCCGTCCCCTCCCTGTCCTTGTAGCCATCACCTTTGCTGCTCCTGGATCCCATTAACTCCTCCTTGCTGTTGATCGAGTCTGTGTGTGTGTTGGCTCTGGGTGGCAGCACACACCCAGCTCACAGCCTCTTGTGTTTCTTCCCTCCTCCAGGAATCCCTCAGAAGCCCCAAATCTTTGGCCATGAACAGCCCTTCGATGAGGAGAAGAAGGCCCAGCTGATCTGCAGGACCTCGGGCAGCAAACCTGCAGCCCAGCTGCGGTGGAGGAAGGGCAACATGGAGCTGGGGGGTGGGTGCCCAGGCACTGGGGGGCTGTGGTGACTGAGGGAACACCTTGGAGGGGTGGAGGAAGGGCAACAAGGAACTGGGGGACTGGAGTAGCTGGGGAACACCTTGGAGGGTTGGAGGAAGGGTAACAAGATGCTGGAGGGTGGGTGTTCAGGCACTGGGGGGGCTGGGGTGACTGGGGAACACCTTGGAGGGGTGGAGGAAGGGCAACAAGGAGCTGGGGAGTGGGTGCCCAGGCACTGGAGCTCTGCCCTGGCTGGGGAACACCTTGGGGGACTGGGAGTTGCAGGTTGCTGGTCCACACCAGCACCCTGTGCTGCTGCCAGCAAAGGGACAGGCACAGAGTATCTCTTTTGGGGTCCTGTGTCCCTCACCCTGACAGTCCCCTGACCCCACAGGTGCGAGCAGTGAGGTGGTGGAGGATGCCAATGGCAAGACCTTCACTGTGACCAGCAGAGTGGAGTTCCCTGTCACCAAGGAGGACAACGAGGTTGAGGTGACCTGCACAGTGGACCACGAGTCCCTGCAGAACTCAGAGAGGTCAACCACACAGAAGCTGCAGGTCCACTGTACGTGGCATGGGGGAGTGGCACAGGGGTGGGAGGGATGGAGGAGGCCTTGGCATCACCAGGGTACAGTAGACAGCACACATGTGGTCCTGCACATTCATGGACATGAAGTCATCATGCAGACATGTGCCAGCTCATCAGTCTGCATGCACCAAGGTCCTGTAACGTGTAGGACTCTGCCCAGGGACACTTTGCCTTGCACAGAGACACTTGCCTTACACAGAGACACTTCCCTTGCACAGACTTTCCTTGCACACACCCCCCCTTGGCTTTCCCTGCTTGTCCCTGTGTCCTGCTTGTCCCCATCTCTCAGGAACTTATCCATGCCATCACTGCTCCCTGCCTGTCATCTCCTCCTGTCGTGCCTGTCCTCCCCTCCCCTTTGCCTGTCCCCATCTCCCCTTTGCCTGTCCCCATCTCCTCCTGTCCTGCCTGTCCCCATCTCCTCCTGTCCTGCCCCATCTCCTCCTGTCCTGCCTGTCCTCTGTGATGATGACAGGGTGAGGGATGTGAGGGCTGCACTGTGCACCCCCAAAGTGCCAACCCTCACCCTGGACACACATGGAGCTGGGATGGGATGAGTTTTGGGGTGCCAAGCACTCACCCCACTGTGTCTCTCCTTTTGCAGACAAGCCAACAGCAAGGATTGAACCACACCCCCAGTACCCACGAGAGGGAGAGAAGCTCCAGCTGCAGTGTGATGGACAGGGCAACCCCGTGTAAGGCCTCTCCTCACCTTCCTCCTCCTCAGCCCCTGCCCAACTACTTCTCCCCCTGCCAGGCTTCCAAATCCACCAGTGAGCCCTCCCCAGGGCTGGGCAGGCGGAGCTTGAGTCCCCCGTGATCAGGTGAAGCTCCTTGTGCTCTCTAGGAGCAGCAGGTCCATCCTGGATCTTGGCTCATCCCTAAATGGGGCATTTCTCTCCTAGTTAAACACTCTCAACCTCTGTTGCCCCTCTGCTGCCACCCCTGGGGTGCAGAGAGAGGGCAGTGGTGCCTGACCCTATCCCATTGCACAGCCCCCAGGAGTTCCTGTGGGAGAAGGAGGGCAGTGATGCTCCCCTGCAGCTGAGCTCAGACAGCGTCCTCATCTTCCCCTTCCTCAACAAGAGTGACAGTGGCACCTACGTCTGCACAGCCACCAGCTCCATGGGCAGTGTGGTGGCCAAGTACAACCTGGATGTCAGTGGTAAGAGGGCTCAGGGTGGCAGCATCTCCTGCAGCCTCAGGGATGGGTGGGGAGGCATCACAGCATTCTGTGTGCCCAGAGTGTCACTGCTTGGCATCTGTTCTTGGGGGAAGGAGCAGCACCTGATGCCTCCATGCATAGTGCTGTCCCCTTGGCTGTTGTGTTGTTGTCCGTGTCCCAGTGCTGTGACAGATGTGGAGCAGAGCTGTGTGTGCTGTCCCTGTGTTCCAGAGCTGTGTGTGCGCTGTCCCTCTGTCCCAGAGCTCTGTGTCTGCTGTCCCTGTGTCCCAGAGCTGTATATGCTCTCCCTGTGCCCCAGAGCCCTATGATGTTTTTCATGTGTCCCAGAGCTGTGTCACACCTGGAGCAGAGCTGTCTATGCTGCCCCTGTGACCCAGAGTTGTGTCACACCTGGAGCAGAGCTGTGTGTGCTGTCCCCGTGTCCCAGAGCTCTGTGTGTGCTGTCCCCGTGTCCCAGAGCTGTGTGTACTGTCCCTGTGTCCCAGAGCTGTCACACCTGGTGCAGAGCTCTGTGGGGCTGTGAGTGCCCATTCCTGGCTGCTGTCCCAACTTCCATCTCGGACTCCCCATCCCCATCCCAGCAGCTTTTCCAAGCTGGTGGGAGCCTGTTTCCCTGTGGTTTTGGCCTTGGATTTGGGGTTCTTCTCTTCTTGCCATCTCTCTCTACCAGCCTTGGTCTTTCCATCTTCCAGTGCTCCAACATGCTCCAGCTCTTCCCTTTTCCATCTCCTTTCCCGTCCCTCCTGTTCTGGGCACTCAGCATCCTCCTGCAGCATGGCTGGGGACAGAGGGAGTGCATGGCAGCAGTGGCACCTCGTGCCCTTTGTCCCTCTCTTCTGCCTGCCCAGAATGAACCCTCCAATGCCCAACCCTGTGCAGTTACTCCTGTGTCCTTGTGTGTCCCCTGTCCCCCTGGTGTGGTGTCCTGAGCCCAGCTGTGAGCACAGTGCAGCATCCCTGGGATGCTCAGCACCCACCCACAGCCTCAGGTCTGTGAGCACATCCCTCACCCACCTGATGTCACAGCACCTGTCACAGCAGAGGAGCTCCACGTCCTGGCTTGGTTCTCCTTGTCAGATTCCCTGTTTTTCCCCACTTGGGTCTCTGGCACATCACTGGAGCCTCCCCTGTGCCTGGCCAAACCCTTGAACCTGCCTAGTGCCATCCCTGCTCAGCAGTGAGGGACAGTGCTGTCCCCAAGGGTGTGTGGAGGACAGTGTAGGTGGCACCGTGTGGTGGGTGACACCTTCCAGCCACAGGGTCCTGGCAGGAGAGTCCCAGTGGAGTCCCTCAAGGGGTAACTGGGGGGCTGGCAGGGCAGGAGATGGGGGAAGATGATCAGAGTAGTGTCCCAGAGTCTGGAGGCAGGAGAAGAGAAGTTGGGACCTGTGGGGTCATGGAAGGAGCTGCTGAGGGTCCCTGACAGAAGGAACCAGGGTCCTCCCAATGGGCTCTGTCACACCTTGCTGGCACCTCCCAGGGGTTGATTCATGTCCCTGTGTTTTTGTTGTCCTCCCCAGATGTTCCCCAGCTCCCCATCCCACACGTTCACTCCACTCCAGCCCCTCTGCTGGGCTCTCCCCAGCCCATCTCTCATGCTTCCATGGTCACCGCTTCATCCTTCACTCCAGCTCCCATCCAAGGTACCGTAAGCTCCTTTTCTCTCTCTTTATGGACCCCCAGCCCAGCAGGAGAAGCTCCACAGGAGGATGGAGGCCCAGCCCTGCCCCAGGGACACCCCTGCCACCTCCCAGGTGCCCAGCCAGGCTCCAGTCCCTCCTTGGCCTGTGTGGATCTCAGCACTTGAGGGTTGTAGCACCCAGCGAGGAGTCCTGGAGCCTGGAATGTTCCTTTTAGCAGCTGCCTGAGCTTCACCCTGTGCTGTGTGTCCATGTCCCGTGTTGTCCCTCTGTCCTGCTGCTTGCCCTGTCTGTCCCCCACCCTGTCCTGTCCAAATGTGGTTCTGGGTCCCCCAAGCTGATGGGGCACAGTGGGAGGAGGATTTGTCCCTGTGTCCCAGGGCTGGCACAGGATTCCGGCACAGATCCTCCTGCAGGATGATTTGGGACCATCTTTGGCGTCCCACTGCCCTTGGGGTGCCAGCCTGCTCCTTGGGCTGTCCCTCCTGAGCTGCAGCCTGTGGCCATGCCAACCTGCATGTCACCTCCTGCTTGGCACAGCAGGAGGGAAGAGCAAGCCAAACTTGGCTCCACCTTGTACTCCACTTCCCTTTTGGGGCCAAAATCCCAGCCTGGAGGCCATCCTTGTTTCCCCTCCTTGGTTCCCCTGCTGCTTCCCTCTCCTCGCTCCCACCTCAGCAGCTTCCACCTGCAGCAGGATGTGCTGGTGGTGGCACCAAGCAGAGCAGGCTGAGGTCCTTGAAGAGGCTGCTCATGGCCTGTGGGGTGAGCAGCAGCTTCTGCCCCATCACAGGATCTCAACCTCCTTCTCTCTCTTCTGTCCCCTGCCCTGGCAGATGCCAGCCCTGTGCCCTCGACCTCCAGCACCTACCACGCAATGATCGGTGGTGTGGTGGCTGTCATCGTCTTCCTCCTGCTCAGTCTCCTCATCGTGCTGGGACACTACCTGATCAGGCACAAAGGTATGGGCTCGGGGAGCTGCCTGGGGTGGGCACACAGAGCCAGGGTCCCTGGGCTGTGTTGGAGCAGGATGTGTTCCCTCTCAGGGTCTCTGGGACAGGCTCCCTGTCCTGCAGCCTTCCCTGTGTCCAGAGAAGCCCCCTGGGTTTGGGGGTCCTGCCCATCGTGGTGCCAGCTCTGGCCCCAGAGTGGGAACCTCCCAGTGAGCCCTTGGAGCTGAGCAGCACCAGGGGCAGGCAGCTCCTGCCCCTTCTCTCCATGACTTGATGCCCACTGCCCCAGGACTGCCCCTGCCCCATCTCCCACCTCTTCCTGCCCCTCCAACCCTCCCTCTGCCTTCCTCTTCCTCCTTTCCCTCCACCTGGACTTCTCATCCAGGCTACAGGGAGAAGGTCCTTGTCCTATGCCTGCAGTTCCTAACCAAGTCCTTCTACAGCTTCCCTGGAGCCTCTTCAGCTCCTGGAAGGTGCCGTGGGATCTCCACACAACCTTCTCCTCTCCAGGCTGAACAGCCCCCAACTCTCTCTAAACAAGGTGCTCCAGTCCTCTCCTCCTCTGTGGCCTCTGGACTTGCTCCAACAGTTCCATGTCCTTCTCATGTTGAGGACACCAAATGTTCTCCACATTGTACAACCCCCTGGTTTCAGTGGGGGCACAGGGGCAGGGTGGGAAGACAGGAGCCCTACTTGACAATGTCATGTGGAGCAACTCATCCTCACTAGAGACAATCATGAAAACCTGGAGCAACCCTAATGAGGCTCCAACCCCACACCAGTGACGTTTTCATTCCCAGCCCCACCCAGTAGTGACACCAGTGGCTTCTCCATTCCAGCCCAAACCCAAACCCTCAGCCCCTGGGGCCCCTCCAGGCAGCTCAGCCAAGTTCCTCCCTGCTCATGTAGATGCTGGCAGGACCCTCATGACCCTCCATCCTCTTCCTCCCTAGGCACATACCTGACCCACGAGGCCAAGGGCTCTGACGATGCCCCCGATGCCGACACTGCCATTATCAATGCCGAGGGTGGCCAGGCCGGCGGCGATGACAAGAAGGAGTACTTCATCTAGGGGTGGCAGAGAGAGCAAATAAAATGGAGCCAAGAGACCCTGATGGCAATGGAAACCAGACCACAAACCCCCCAAAACCCAACAGATTTTCTCTGGTGCCCAGCACGGGCACCTGGATGGACAGAGGGATGGCAGGACCGAGAGCAGAGAGCCAACGGCCTTGAGACGCGATGCTGCTGCTTCCTGAACTTGTACAAATCCTTCCACTCGGAGCAGCCAGAGCCCCAGCCCTGTTTGCTTGCTTGCACCTCCATCCCCACGCCCAGAAATCACAGACCAACCAGTGAGTGAGCGACTTTTCCTTCTTCCTTTTGGACCTTTGCTTTGGTTTTGTGGCTGCTCTTTGCTTCGGGCCCTTGGTTGGGATGTTGGGCTGGGGTTGATGTAGCTCTTCCCTTTGTTTCTCTCTGTTTTGGTTTCTTTGACATCCAAGGATAAAATCTGCTCCAGGCTCTGGTGCAGGCTCGGGGCAGGTGGGTGATCCATCGTGTCCTGTGTGTCCCCCCAAGAGTCCACCATGTCCCTGTGGCTCCTCCAGCCCTGACTGTGGCGTGGTGACCCCAGTTGGGATGGGGAGCGTGACTGGTGGGACCAGAGCAAGATGCCAT